ATATATATATAAATACAAATATGTTCGTTTTGCTTAGTTGTTTCCAAGATTTCGACGTGGTTAGTTATCAGCAAACAATTTGAAATCCAACCGTAATATAATCTTAATCACTACAACTAAGCATTGTATGTAAGCATTGTATGTAAGCATTGTATATAAGTTATATCATCAAAATTTCAATTTTTAAATCTATCGTTTATAATCTAAGCGTCATTTTAATTTTATAAATTTCTCTTATAAGATTTAGTCTACTTTTGACATATTTGACCTTTGACATTGTTCTATTTCTTTCCTTTTAATTTTCGTGACTGCAATAATTTTATTATAACTTGCCTCGAATCTGTTCTCATCAAATAGATTATAATTATTGCGAATGGCTTAAATTTTCTAATTTCTATTTAACAGATTTCAAAATATCGTACAAAAAATCATACAAACAATTGTACGATTATTCTAAAACTTTCTTTTTTCTTAATAAAAAATCATTTATACAAGAAGTTGATTTCAATCTTGATTGCGGTTTCTTATTTACATGTTTCTATTCATACTCATTATTCGTTTGAATTACGTTTAACTATTTTAATGTCTCACATTTTCAGTCTAACATTATACTTAAAATTTTATTTATGTAAACTAGAAGAAAAATAAAAAAACGTTCATATGTAGAATAAACATTTAAAATTACATATCGAGTATCACTAACGATAAAATATCAATTTAACAATAAAATGCGTTCAAAGATGACTGACTTCGACAAAGATTTTATACAGTTCTTATTATTAAAATGTAAATTGTTGAATTCGATATCCACTAAAATCAATACATTTTGATAATTCTATATTTAAATTGTGAATACATCAGTTGTTTTAAATATTGTAACAGTATAGTCACCTGTCATTTTCAAATCCTTTAAGCTGTTTAATGAGAAAAATAAGTATATGTTAACCGCAATCTTCCGTAATATTATTACTTCGAAAAAAATTATGTATTAAGAAATTATATTTTCTTATAGTTTTAGGTGGATAAACTTAAAAATATACACATTCAATAAAATTTAGATCGTGAGACTTACGAAAAGAATTTAGGGAACGTTATGATAAAGTTAACCGAGGAATACGCCTAAAGAATTTGAAAATTGAATTTGAAAATTGAATTTGAAAAAAAAAGAGGAACATCCATCTCAAATTTTGCAATATTTAAATTGATAGTCAAAGATAATGAGTAATAGCACAAAAAAATATTTATGCTATCATTGTGGTAAGATTTATGTAGTTCATGATTGATATATTTAGTATTTTGATAACTTTGTGTTATTTCAATAGTTATCTGTTTTATGTTGCTATTTTCATATTTATTGTAACAAATAAAAACAATAAAAATAATAATATAACAATAATAAAAATAATTCTAAAGGTGAGCAACTTAACACCTCGAGAGCTTTAATACGACATAATAAAGAGAAACATACTGAAGATAAACCATACAAATGCGAAACATGTGGTAAAACATTTAAGCATGAAATTTATATACATAGTCATGAAATGATTCATACATGGGAAAAATCTTATCAATGCCAATATTGTGAAAAATCATTTATGTGAGTACTTTAAGTGAACAACAAAAATTAAATAAATTATTTGGTAATTCAATGTCTATGCTTAAATTAATTGATAACAAATAATGTTGTCACGATTATTTTGTAGTGAAAAAGGGAATCTAATAATTCATATACAGGTGAAACATAAATTACCATAAACATTGATAAAGATTACAAGTAACAGTGTGTGAGAACATTTTCAATACTAAAAAGAATTTGAATGATTATGTAGAAACAAAACACTGAAAAATCGCATAAATGTGACCAATGTTCATCTACATTTACTCATCATAAGCACTTAAAGGAGCACATGAAAATACATACAGGTGAAAAATTATACCTTTGCGAGATATGTGCTACAAAATTATTGTTAATATTTTTTCTAATTATTTTTCATTTGATTATTTTTATTTTTTATCTTTTTTAATCATAAATGTATTCTATTTTAGGAATGCATATTCTATTTTAGGCAAAAGATTTATCAATAAAGGCCACCTAAACAATCACAGATCTGTACATAGCGATGAAAAGCCGTATGATTGTGAAGTGTGTGGTAAAATCTACAAGCGAAAAAAAGAACTTAATCGACACATTCAAAGATCACATCTAAGGTCACTTATGATATAACGTTTTAATTCATTAGCAGGCTCACATTTGTATTTCTATTTTTGTTACATATTCATAATCATATTATAATAGATTATTGTAATATATCACATCACACATGTGATACATAAAAAATTATTTATTGTTTAGGGTCACTGACATCACCTGTATGACAAGCGAAGAACAAACTGCAACTGACAATGAAAGAGATAAAGAATAATTATAACTACTAATAATAATGACAAATAATAACGACGAACTATGGAATGGAAGAAGAATAAAAATATAACGTTTGTATAAGATTTTATATACTTAGACGGGAGTCTTCCAAAAGATATAACTTTTCTCGGAGGTACAATTAAACACTGTCGGATATAGAAGCACTGTTGACAATACAATACGTTCTAAAGACAAAAGCATCAAGTAAATCTTCACTGTTTAATACTTTTAATAATTTTACATTCTAGTTGGGTTAAAGTAGTAAACTAGCGAACTGAAACAGAATTTTTTGAAATTGATGCTATATTTCACTAGAAAGCGTTATTGCATTTGTGCAATTATAATGAAGTTGAGATTTCAATATTGAAATGTAAGCAATTGATAGCCGCACTTTATATACGTGTGGCATACAATGTTAATGAAAATGTCGCGTTTCTTTTTTTTTGGGCATAAATTAGCAATGACATGTTAAGAAGAAACGAGTAAATGAGTAAGGAGCTTGAAAGGAACAGGGTTGGGTTAATATTTTTTTTAACTGAATAAAATTAAAGTTAAGTTAAAAGTTGAAGGAATAAAAAATTAACTTAACATAAATTAAGTCAATATTGAATTAACTTAAATTTAAAAAAAAATTAATTTTGAAAAAATTATTTTTTAGATCAAAATGTCCTAATTTTTCTTAAAATGAAATTAAATAATTATAATATAGATTATTAGATAAATTAAATTTAAAATTTTTTTATTCATATGTGATAGAAATATATAACACACGATATGACACAACGATATAAATAATGTACTATATAAGTAATAAGTAATAAACTTTAAGTAATATAACTTTAAAAAAACAGCCAACACATAGAGAAAATACAGTGATTACTTTTTAATAAGTCTTAAGCCATAAAACAAATTACAATCGAATGCGAGAAGAATATTTGACTGTAATTGGTCAATTTCTTATGACTTAAGGCTTAAAACATCTATTGTAAATCCGGATTAAGGCATAAATCAGAGGACTGTATTAGCATCTTAAGAAATTACTTAAGATGGTCTTAAAATATGAACAGATTACGAATATACGCCCTTATCTTATTATTTTTCTAAGATATTTAAAAGAGATAAAACAATTTTTTAACTTAAAAAAAAAGTTAATGTTTAAAAGTAACTTAGTTAAGTGCATTAAAATTTAATGCATTTAAAATTAATTAAGTTAAAAGTTATTAATTATTTAACTTTTTTATAACTTTTAACGTTTTAACTAGTTACTACTCAACCCTGGAAAGAAATAATGCGAAACCAATCCTGGGAAAAAATGTTTTTTGTATAATTATATAAAATTATATAAAAATACCAAATGGATATATATTTTATATATACTTGCATATAAATATATATTTATATTAATTGTATATAAAATATTTTTTCCCGGAGATCATATATTTTTATTATTTAGTTTGATAAAAAGTCGTGACAAGAATTCAATTTTCATAAACATTTGTCAATGCGTCATGTGAATCGAAGGAAGCATAACAATGAGCTACGTTAGGCTGCGTCAGTATTCACTTTTTCCTTGTGCTATGAACAGGCGCATTCAAAAGATTTCTGTCAGCGAAAATGGAAATGAAATGAATCGCAGCATCAAACACTGGAGGGCATTTAATTTCTGATAATATTATCGCTAATGTAATACCTAATAGGTACATTTCTTATTACTTTCTACAGAATAATAAGCATTATTATGTTTGTTTTTTATGTGAGGGACAAGGATAAAATAATGGCATGTGAGCGTAAAAACGAAACTTAATTTAAATATGTTCCATCCAATCATGATAGAGAATCAATTATAATGCTAATTTATCCGACTGCATCTTTAGAATATAATCTAATTTTAATATTGGGTGTCTTGTATGTATTACTAGTATGTACTATTATAAGTCGAGAATCATTAATTATATTAAAGCAATTGATATTATAAAGCATTTATAATTGTTTTTATTTCAATTATTGAATCATCACTGTAATATTTTTATAATAAAGTCCTACATAAAAATCTCTTGATATAAATACATACTGTGACGAAAATGAGAAGTTTCATAAATGTATGTTTAACATTCACATGAGCGTTTGCAGGAATTCATTGAGAATCAAGAAACGATCAGTAGAATGTTCATAAAGCGGAAATTGCAACGCTGCAGCGTTTGGAAGGCACTCTTTGACGAAAATAAGAAGTTTCATGAATGTTTGTTTGATGTTTATATGAACGTTCAGTTCAAGTGTTATGTCTGCTGAACGCAGACATTTTATCAAAAAAAGATACAAAATTTTTCATTGAAAAATCCTATCATAGAAAAATCTGCCTTTTATTCTATTCGATATGATTTTCTAAATGCGAGAAATTGAATTATATTGTCTCTATGTAGTGGCGATGTTGTGCATACTTAAAAGTTGAATATATAGAAGAATGTTTGCTAAACGGAGGAATCGCTTGTGTTGTAGGATTGAGGAGAACATTTTTTGGGTTTCTTTAAGTCGTTTGCATAAATGCCCTACAAAATGTTTATTGAAATTCAATAATTCGCCATATTGGAACAACGTTTGTTGAACGAAAGATAAATGCTTGTCTCACGGTATTAAGAAAAGTGTTTGCTAAATGTTTGAAAAGTCTGACAGTGAACTCTCTGTAGGTGCATCAGCGTTTACTGAGCATCCTTTAAAAAGCATTACTGTAACATTACAGAATCTTCATGAAACAATGCATACTGTATTTTATAAGCATTCTGAAAATGTTTAAAACCTAATGGTGTACTTTGTAAGCGTTCTTACAAAGTTTGGAAATGTATAAACTCTTAAAAAAATCGTCGAACGGTTGTCAACGTTTAATAAATTAATATTTATAAGACATATATATATATATATA